TACATCAGCAGGACTAGATTTACAAAGCCTGGATGCACAGGAGCACCATGAGGAACCACAAGTGCTGTCACTAAGCTCTCACAGATGTATCCATGCCACATATTTATTTAATTTACTTTTTATGGTGCTGGTGATTGAACCTAGGACCTCTTATGTGCTAGCCAAGTATTCTACCACTGAGCTAAGTTCCCAGCCCCACATTTTAATTTTTGCTGCTAGGCTGAAGACAAAATGGATTTTTTCCCCCCAAGCTGCCCTACCAGTATGAGCACATGTAAGTTGAAAATTGAACCTCAGAAGTAAATGAGATTGTTGTATAAGCATGAAACACTCAAGTAACTATGACCAGTGCAGATTCATCCACTACCAAGGTGGCGATGTAGCCCAGCTGGCCAGACTGCAGGACCAGGCAGCGTGAACCCTTTCTGCAAAGCAGAGTAAGCCTGGGAAGGCAGTGGTAAGGCCTAAGAAAAATGTTGTGGCTATTCTGAGTAAACACACATGGCCTTTTTTTTTTTTTGGACAGGGTCTCACTATGTAGTTCAGGCTGTCCTTGAACTCACTGTGTAGCCCAGGCTTGCAGCAATCCTCCTGCCTCAGCTTCCCAAGTGCTGGGCTTATAGATGTGCACCACCACACCTGGCAACACACACATGGCTTTGAGAGAGAAATAAATTTTGAATTTTGAGATCTGTCTAAAATTTAGATACTTTGTATCTAAACACATTACAATTACCAAAAAAGTACTCAGTTTTCTTTCCCCTCAAACTTTGGCCAGCCTCATTCATTATCAAAATGATTAACTGGAACTGAGCTTTTCCTCTACAGCTTTCTTTATTTTCTGACGAAAAAATTAGAAGAATGTTCGGTGGGTGAGTGGGGATACATTTTCAGAAGTTGGGTGATCTAAGGGATGAACTGGCCAGTGTGTCTGCACCTGCAACACACCCATCAGTCCATAAGTAGTGGAACTGCAGCAAAGGCAGGGTGGAGAGCCTAACCAAAGGCTTATAAGAATCCCTTTCATTTTAAAACTACTACTCATTATTAGAAAATCATACTACTGCAATGGCTTTTCTTTGACCAGCTTTTTTTAAAAATATACCCTAGGTTTGGTTGAACCAGAAAGACAGGCAGAATCCATGGGAACTTACACTGACAATGTTTTAACTTTCAGCTGTTTTGGTCTCTCAACAAGAATCAGGCAAAGAACTGCTTTGGAGTCTACTGATCTCTCTAAAGTGACAACCGGTGACTGGGGAGTAATGCAGTGGTAGAGCTTCCACTTAGTGTGCACATGTGTGAGGTTCTGGGTTCAGTCCCTAGGACTGGAAACAAAAAAAGGAAAACTATGATAAGGATGTGATGGATCACTCTGCGACCACAGTCCTCGGAGTTGTGGTGCTGTCACTGTTCTGTTTTCACTTTTGAAGTAATTCACATTTTGGAATCTTTTCTATTGCTTTCACTTCTGTTGTTGCTAGATAGTTTGTTAAATCCAAGGAAGGGGTGGCAACTGAGAATGTGGGTTTGGAGTCAGGGAAATGAGGTTGAAAGCCGGATTCTACTCCTTGTAGAATAAATCCAAATAAATGTACAATTTCTAAACCACATAGTTTCCATTTCTTTATATCAAAATCTTTGTATTTGAAAGCATCTGACCATCCTGAGATGAGCAGAGATCACATTAAACCCTCCTCCTTCTGTGCTTGTGTACCTGCTAGAAATGTATAATCATGGGTTAAAAAGGCCCATGACCATAGCTACAATCCATAACTCCTATCATTATTCAGCTTTGTGCTTGACAAGTAACCACAACTCCCTGTGCTTCTGAAATAAACCTGTCCTGTGAGCTCATTCCGCTTTCTTTTCCTTCTTCCTAACAGTATGAAAACTTTGGCTCCCCATGGCCAACACTATTGGCCATTTACCAAAAGCCGCACACCCCGCCTACTTTACAATAAGATCCCAGTGCTATTCAGGCAGCCATGTGCTGAGGAGCCATGAGGACCTGAGGCCACCAAGACAGTCGCACTTTCTTTGTCAGTATGCCTGGGGCACACATGTGTCCATCTTAAGCAAGGAGATGGGGGCGGGGGGTGTCCTAGAGGTTTCTGGGAGAGGTATTTTTTGAAGAAAGACTTTCCCTTCCTGGCTGGTCATTGTCACATGAGGACAGGATGCTGTGAGGTTCAGAAGCTGTTAATGCCACCATGAGGGGAGACAAAGCTCCCCTACTTCCAAGTGGGGATAACAGGACAGGATAAGGAAGAGCCAGGTCCTTCATTATACCAGTTCCCATCCAATTCCAGAATTTCTCACTACCAAACTTCTCATATGAGCAATAAGTGTCTGACTATGACAGTCGTGTTAGTTGCACCTGAAAGCATTCTAACTCCTACGCTTTAAATTATTCCCTAGAGTAGCAGCATCCCAGGTATAGAATTTCTAGATCTATATTATTGGTATAAACAGACCCCAAAAGCTTTGATTGACACTCCCATTGGCTCACATTAGATAGATCCCTTCTCACCACAGCCTCCATAATACTGAGTCACTGAGGATTAGCATTCTTCAAAACTCACTGCTAATTTTATATACAAATGTTACTGTCTCATAATCAGTGTTTACCTCTGTTTGGTGGTGTGCCTGGACTTGGCCTGTGGCATCCAGGAACTAAGAGGACAATGCAGTTGGGAGCAGTTTTCCAAAAGCAGAGGCAGCATGGGGTAAGTGACCTCACCTGGGAGAGGTCAAGTACTCATCCAGATGAGGCCGGAAGTGTGAAGACAAAGGTATAAAGCTGGCCTGAACCTGGAGCGAGTAACCAGGGACCATAGACCTCAGCAGGCCCTGCCCAGGAGCAACACTCTGAGGTACAGACACCAAAAGCCTGAGCCAGATTGTAGGCCTCTGCTCTGTGTGTTCCCACCCAGAGGATATGCTAAAGGTATGACTTAGCCCCTGAGAGTTTTTTTAAAAAAATAAAACCGAAAACACAGAAAAAAGGCTGAAGTCAAAACGATCTGCTACTGGGAACCATCTTGTCAAATTTATTTGTTTATTTGTTTGTTTTTGGTACTAGGGCTTCCACACTGAGCTGCAACCCAGCCCCTTTAAAATGTTAAGACAGGCTCTCACCAAGTCTTTCAATTACCCTAGCTGGGCTCGAACCTGTGCTCTGGCAGCCTCAGCCTACCAGAGTGCTGAGATTACAGGTGCACACCACAACGCCCATCTCAAATTTAAACAGAGACAAAATTAAATGTAAGAATTAAGTTTCCTTATATTGAAACTCAGAAATAACACTTGTGCTTTCAGAAACCCTACCAGAGAATACTCCAGGTATTTCAAACAGAATTTAATTTAGGGAATTTGTTTTTACAAAGGCATTGAAAGGCCTGGAACAGCAAAAAGAAGGGTGCTGGAGAAGCAAAAAGAAATAAATGAATCTGAATTAATAATTTGAGTTTGAGGCTAGAGGTGTAGCTCAGGGGTGGAATGCTTGCCTGGCATGTATGAGGTTCTGGGTTTGATTCCCATCACCACAAATAAATAATAACATGAATTTGAATATTCTAATTAATGGGGTTAATTAGTTGAATAAGACCCTCATTCTGTCTCTGCCCCCTTGGACTCTGGACTTCTTGACCATTTATTTCTCTTTGCCCCCTAAACATCTGCTCTGAGTCCCAGGGATTTTTTTGTTTCTTTTGTTGTTTGTTTTGCCAACCACAGATTGAACCCAGAGCCTTCACACTAAACTACATCCCCATCTCTTTTTATTTTGAGAAAAGTTCTTGCTAAGTCACTAAGTTGACTAGGCTGCACTTGAACTTGTGATCCTCCTGCTTCAGCCTTCCAGAGCGCTGAGATTTACAAGTGTGTGCTGACACCCCATCTCCTGCCACCCTTTTCTGAGTTCTCCCTCACAGCACTTGTCTTGGCCCAACTAGTGATGTTCAATGCTTGAACCCTTTGAAAAAGAGCTACAGGGTCCAGCGGAACAAGGGAAGATGACGAATTAACCAAGGGCACTGACACACAGGGCACATTCTCAGCATCTGTCCTTGTCTTCCTCAACCCTCCTCACTTTACTGTGGCCAAAAACCTTTCCCAGGAAAGCCACTGTGCTTACAACATACACTTAGAAAACTAAAGCCAACCCTGCAGAATTCAAGGGGCTATTTTTCATTTGCAGTCTACAATGAGTTTAATCTAATTTTAATTTTTTTTTCACTAAACAAGTATTTATTAAGAGCTTCTTCTATTTCCTAAGATAGAGATAATGTATTATGGAGGCCAGAAATCCCTCATGGAGTCACTAAAATCAAGGTGCCATTCCAGGTATTCCCCAGCTTCCAGAGGCTGCCCACAGTCCATGGCTCGAGCACCATTCCTCCTCCTTTAAGCAGCAAGTGGGAAGGGTCCTTCTCTGTGGGTCTCTCATGGCCCCCTGACCACCGCTGACAGAATCTCAACTCCAGGTCCTCAGGCTCATGCCCATCTCAAGAGAGTGGAACTTTAATCAATTACAAAGTGGCTTTTGCCTTGTAAGGCAACGAATTCACAGGTTCTTGGGATTAGGCCATGAATACCTTTATTCTATCTACTACATCCACCAATATTTCATTTAAATGCCCCAAAGCCACTGGCCAGAGCAAAATTTCTTAAAATCCTTTCCCTCTCTCCCCCTAGTACTGGAGCTTAAACCAGGGCCTTCTCACTGAGCTGCATCCCCGGCCCATTTTATTTTAAATTTTGAGACTGAATCTCACTAAATTGCCCAGGCTGGGTTTGAATTTGCGATCTTCCTGCCTCAGTTTCCGAGAGTGCTGGGATTACAGGCGCGCGCCACCACACCCTGTTTAAAATCCCTTTTTAACTGTCCCATTCCTTTCCCAAAGCTTCTGCTGTTTGGCACCTTTCTCCTCAGTGCTCCCCCGAAACACCCCTTCACACGCCCCGCCGCTGAGCCGCCTCCTTTAGGCTGGCGCGCGGTTCCTCCTGGCGCCCGGCAGGGAAACGAGCAGCGGAACAGTGCAACCCCTCTAGGGGGCCCTCCAAAGGCCCGGAGGTCCCCGGGAGGAAGCACCCTGTGTAACTCGGTTCCCGTGCGCGCTCGCACTGGGTCCTCCAGGCCGCTCCGCCGCGCAGGAAACGGCTGAGGCTTCCGTGACCCCACTGACGACCAGGACCCGGGTACTCCTTCCCCGACTTCGGTCTCTCGCCAGACCGTGCCCCTCTCAGCGCCTGCCCCGCAGGAGGACACCAGGGCTTCCCGCAGCCTGGGCACACGTTTCCACCACCCCCGGCCCTTTGTCCCTCCCGGACCGCCCCTCACTGCCGTCTCCATGGCGCCCGACGACTCGGGAAGCGTCCGGGCCAGGGACTGTGCGTCTGGGTTAAAAGCTAGGCCCGGGCTGGGTGTGTGCGACCGAGCGTCCCACTCTCTCCCTCCCTTCCAGGGGACAGAGGCCAGGGGACGGACAGGGGCCGGGACAGTACACCGCAGCTGGCGTTCCCCGGTCTCCAGGTGGGTAGCTGGATGTTCTAGGAAGTGTATTAAAGTCACTGCATGCCCCGGAAACCTCGAAGATAGCAGAGAATGGCCCTTCCCTGCCGCCTTTTCTGGCCGTCTTGGCGGGGGTGGGTGGGGGTGGGGGTGGGGAGTGGGGCATGACACACCAGCAGCTGTCCAAGCTGGGCAAGTAGGGGATTCAGAGCCAGGCATCTCTCCTTGGGACAGTGGACAGGGCCTGCCCACCTCTGCTCACCCTCTCAGCCTCCACTCTTACCTTCCTGTCTCTAGGACACGGGAAGGACGGGAGCCACCTTTGGATGAGATGAGCAGACCCTGGCCCAGGTGAGGTACTACACTTTTACCTTCAGTAACATTCACTTATGATCAACCCAGCAGTGCTGGCTTAAACCACCTGTGTTTGCTAACTCTGGATATAACATTTACTATATGTAGAAACAACATAAAAATCTTGTGATGATATATTACATTGTCTTAATAGAGCATTTACTGAATTTATGTGTGTACTTTGTGCATTTGTAAATACTTAGAGAAAGTTGGTGGACAATGGTCCTTCATGTGAGCAGTAATAAGTATATTTCTACTTGTCAAAGCCAGGTTCCTTTTGATGTATGCTTTTTCTCAACTACCCTGTCTCTTCCTGATTTCTTTGGGATTCTCTACCAGGCATAGATCCCCCAAAAGAACCCATTTTGATGTAAGGTAATAAACATTTTGGGTAGTCTCTGACTGGAAACTTTCCTGAGTGGGAAAACTCCAGTAATTCCCAAAAATTCTCCAATAATTGCTATAGGATGCTAATACATACATGGTCAAATTTTGTTGGGCTGGCGTAACAAAGTATCATAGACTGGTTAGTGTAAAAACAGGTTTTGGGGGGTTGTTTTTGGTTTTTTCACAGTTCTAGAGGCCTGAAGTCTGAGGTGCCTCCAAGCTAGGCTTCACAGCTGGGGGGGGGGGGGCGGTGAACGGAGAAGCATTATTCCTATTTTTACAGATAAAGGAAGTGGGATTGGAGAAGTGGGGTTGACTGTCCAGTCATCCTACTAGCAATCAACACAACCAGGATTCAAAGCACTTCCTTCTGACCCAAAGCCCAGATTACTATCTCTCCACCATGCACAGCCACCCATGATGCTATGGCAGTGTTGCCAATTGCCAAATAATAAGAATCACCTTGGATGTTCACCCAAAGTGGCCTGTGGGCTGGGGGTGTAGCTCAGTGGTAGAGCCATGTGTGAAACCTGGGTTCCATCCCCAACACTGGAAAAAACAAAAAGCCTTAGGAGTCAGGAGACCTAGTTCTGTTCTCAGCTGGGCTCTAGTCCTTTCTGTTTCTGGGCCTCACTAAATCAGACACACAAGCTTATCACATGAGTTTCTCTTACATGAGAAACCCAAAGTGTAAATACATTAAAGAGTAAAATAAAAGATACATAATAGGGGCCAGGGATTTAGCTCAGTGGTTTCGCCGCCTGCTGTGCAAGCGCAAGGAACTGAGTTCAATCCCCGGTACCCCCCCAACGATACATAATAGGAAACAGAGGCAGATAGTTTGCAAAAAGGAAGAGAACCAAGAGGGAGGGAGGGGAAGGGAAGGGAAGGGAATGAAAAAAGAATTAAGATGTGTCATGTACATATACCAGATCCCCACAATGAATGCAATCATTACATACTAAAAACATGTATTAATAAAAATAAAAATTAAAGCTGGGCATGATGACATGCACCTGTAAGCTCAGGCAGGAGAATTGCCATGAGTTTGAGGCCAGCCTGGGCTATATAGTGAATTCAAGGCCAGCTTGAACTACGTGGTGAGACTCTGTCTCAAAAAACATAAATAAATAAATGTATTTTTTAAAAGGTTTACCAGGCCCAAGATGGCAAGTAGGTTTCAAGAAGCTACCTAGTCTCGTTGCTCTGCACCAGCTGCCTGGAGCATACCCTTGAGTAGAAGCCTGAGGCTATACTTAGGTGATGGCCATGAGTGCAGGAGTGGCAGAGTGACCCCTCCTGGTTTGCCCAATACTCTTTGGTCCCAACTAGAGCTGTAATATTGTGATTTTTCCTTAACCCTGGTTCCTGAGTGTCTTTACATCCTGCAAGATCCACTCCCCCTTCAGGATGTTTTTCACTCATGATGAGATAATTTGTTGTGCAGCATTATGATGCTAATACCTCTGTGATGGGGCAGGGATTTAGCTCAGTGCTTCTGCCGCCTGCCTTGCAAGCGCAAGGTCCCAAGTTCAATCCCTGGTACCAAAAAACCAAAATAATACCTGTGTGGTCTACTTTGAAATTGTGAACTGCTTCAGCTCTTGTTCACATGGCATCTAACAGATGTTGCTGGCTTTCTCTTGAAAATTTAAAATATTTCACAGTTCCCTGTGAACTTGTGGCAGTGCCTGAATGCACTCCATTGAACAGTTTGGGAACTGTGGCTCTAAGTCACAAACCATTGCTAGAGTTAAAAAAGGATATTAAATAATAACAGAAGGGTATACCTCCCAGGAAAAGTTTCAGTTGTGAATTATAGGCACCTAATGACATGGCTTCAAAATATACATAGCAAAAATGGCAGAATGAGGACAAAGGTAGATAGGTTCACATTCATATATATCTCTTAATAACTGGTAGAATTCATATAAAATTCAATAAAGATAAATGTAACAGGAAGCCATTGGAGAAATTTAACCAGAAGAGTCACATGAGCTGATTTATATTTCAAAAACACTACTCTGTCTGCTGGGTGGAAAGACAAGAGGAGAGAGCATGCTGTAGCCATGCAGGTGGAAAAGTGAGTTTACAAAACCAGGTTCCTATCTATTTATATGCCTTTCCTATCCTACTATTAATCCATCTATCTATCCATCCATCAAGACAGGATCTTGTTATGGAGTCCAGGCTGGCTTCTACTCACAGCAATCCTGCTGCCTCAGCCTCCTGAGTGCTGGAACTACAGGTGTGTGTGCGCCACTACACCCACCTAGCCAGTCTCCTTTTGATGTTTGTTTTCCTCAACAGCCCTGTCTCCTTCTAGTGCTGAATTTGGCCTGAACTCAAAAAGAAGAGTACTTTTTGATGGAAGACGATAAACACTGGACAGTCTCTAGCTAGAAATTTTCTATATGGAAAAACCAAAATTCCTGTAAACCTTGGTCTCTGTAAAGCCAGTTCTGAGGGCCCACCATTACCATAGGCCCATTTTAGGGCTGGCTATTTTAAAAGATAAAATCAGCACTACTTTGGTGGGTGGCTTTCCATGGCTAGCAGAATAATATTAACATCAATATAAAGTTTATTGGGCATTTCCATTATATGCCAAGTATTGTGCAGAGTGTTTTATGCAAAGTTATGGCTTCACAACTTAGCTAAAACCACCCAGTAATGGTAGAGACAAGACTAAAATCCAGATCTGTTGCCCATAATGTCTACACTGTGATATATGTGCTGCCTGGCAAGAATTGTATCAGTGAAGAGAATTGTGCCATTTTAAAATCAGCATGTCCCAGATAGTGTTTGGTGCCTGGTTTTAATGTTAATTGGATTCTTTTATAAACACGTCCATAGGTACTATCCCATTTTAAAGTCTTTAAAGGAAACAACATGAGCCCATGGGTTCATGGAAATTGTGTTTTTACCTTTTACCTTTTTTTTTTTTTTTAATAACTGAGGTTTGAACCCAGGGCTTTCTCACTGAGCTACCCATTTTTAAATTTTTTCCTTTTTACTCTGAGACATAGAAGAGACAGGGTCTTCCTAAGTTACTAAGTTGCCCAGACTGGGCCAGAACATGTGGGTTTCTTGCCTCCACATGGTGCTGGGAGTACAGGCACTGTACCCAGGTTACCTGTCTCCATCTTGACTCTTGTCCCATTTAACATAAACAAAACATGTTAAGATTTTCAAAGAACGGAGAGGCAAGTTCTGTGCCTTAAAAAGATGTCTATATGTTTGGTTTCAGGTCTAGTTGCTGTTTCAGACTCTGACACCCTAAAACAATGCCAAGAGTAAAGAAAGGGAAAGGGAAAGCTAAAGGGGCTCCCCCACCCATCGTTCCGATTCTTCAACGGTTCCTGAAAACCTATGGAAAGCACTGTGCACGCTCCCAGACATCAGTGTGTCCAGCCATCAGAAGGGACCTGAAAAGCAGCATTGACAGTGAGCAGAGCCTCAGGAGGGTGAGTGGATGGGTATCTGTCCTTACTCTTCTCAGAACGGGCTGACCCATCTCACTTCCCAGGAGCACGGGTTCTCAGACCCCACACCCAGTGCTGGCTGTGTCACTGCCTTTGCATCCTGACCCAGTGAAGTTCAAAGTTCAAAGCCCCACTCACTAGTGCCAAGGGCCTGCTAAGCACCTCTCCTACCCTCCTGCTCATGCCTCTGTGGGCCTGTCTTTTCCCACACCAGTCATCCAGAGTGGCCAGCCCTCTGACACCCCACATCTGGAAGGCCCAGCTCTGGGGTGGCCAGTTCTGTCATCACTGTATCCAACCACCTGGGCTCTGAACCTCCAAGTGAATGTCTTCTGCCCTTGACCCCCAGTGTGTCCCCACTCACATCATGAGGCCCACGCTATATGGTATGAGGTCAACAAACACTGAATGTTGACTCCAAAAGCCCTGGTTTTCAGAAAAAATGCCTTTGTCATCTCTTTTCTGAGATTAAATCTAGGGTTTGAGTGTGAAGGGAAAACCAGCTGTGAAACAAAATGAATAACTTTTGGGAAGGGGGAACATGAAAGAGCAGAAGGGGGGGGCTAGAACTCCAAGACAATCAGATCAACCTCTTTATCTTTATCCAGCCCAGGAAGGCAATCTACATTTCCATAATCATATACCAGCTGATTTCCTAGAATAATGAGTGCTAACACTAAATTGAATAAAATTATTAGAGATAGGTGCTTTAAAAAAGACAAGCAGTCTGCAGAGTGTTCTACCCAACATCAGAATATACATTCTTCTCAGCTGCAAATGGTACATTCTCCAAAATAGCTGCAAATGGTACATTCTCTCATAAAGCATGTGTAAGTAAATACAAAGGAATTGAAATTATCCCATGCATATTATCAGACCATAGTGCAATGAAATTAGAAATAAATAGCAAAAGAAACCATAAGAACTTCATAAACATGTGGAAATTAAATAACCTCCTGAACAACCAATGGGTCACAGATTAAATTAAAGAACAAATTAGACAGTTACTACAATTGAACGATAATACCAATACAAATACCAGAACTTATGGGATGCAATGAAAGCAGTCCTACAAGGGAATAGAGACTAAGAGAACAATACAAAGAATCAATGAATCAAAGAATTGGTTCTTTGAAAGATTAAATAAAATTGATAAACCCTTGGCAAACCTCATCAAAAAAAAAAAAAAAGAAAGAAAGAAAAGAAAAGGCCATCCAGTTAGGAATGGAAAGGGTGAAATCACAACAGATCCTGTAGAAATCCAGAAGATAATCAATACCAACTCCAAGAACTTATATTCTAATAAGATGGAAAACACAAAAGAAATGGAGAGATTCCTAGATACATATGAATTACCAAAGATGAATCAAGAAGATATAAAAATTCTAAATAAACCAACATCAGTCAATGAAATTGAAAATGTAATTAAAAAACCTATCAACAAAGAAAAGGCCAAGCACTGGGGGATTCACTGCTGAATTCTACAAGAAATTTAGAGAAGACCTAATGCTGCTACTTCTCAAACTCTTTAATGAAACTGAAAGAGGCGTGATACTCCCACATTCATTCCTGGAAGCAAGCATTACCCTGATACCAAAACCAGAGAAGGATCCAACCGAAAAAGAGAAATACAAGTCAATCTCCCTAATGAACATAAATGCAAAAATCCTCAATAAGATACTGGCAAACAATGCAGCAAATCATGAAGAAGGTTATTCCCCATGACCAAGTAGGATTCACCCCAGGAATGTAGGGATGGTTCAATGTATGCAAGTCAGTAATTGTAATACACCATCTTAACAGAGCCAAGGACAAAAACCATATGACCATCTCAATAGATGCAGAAAATGTGTTTGACAAAGTCCAACACCAATTCATGATAAAAACCCTAAAGAAAATTGGAATAGAAAGTCTTTATCTCAATCTCATAAAAGCTATCTATGACAAACCAACAGCCAACATCATACTAAATGGTTAAAAACTGAAAGCTTTCACTGTAAAATTAGGAACAAGACAAGAATGCCCTCTATCACTACTCTTACTCGATATAGTTCTGGAAACATTAGCAAGAGCAATTAGACAATAGAAAGAAATAAAAGGAACATGGTTAGGAAAGGAAGAAGTTAAATTATCATTATTTGCTGATGACATGTTACTCTACATAGAAGACCCCAAAAACTCCACCAAAAGACTTCTAGATTTAATAACCAAATTCAATAACATAGCTGGATATAAAGTCAACACTCAAAAATCAATAGCATTTCTGTACACAAAAACAAACTCATTTTGAGAGAGAAATTAGGGAAATAACACCTTTCACAATAGCATAAAAAACATGAAGTACCTAGGAATCAATCTAACAAAGGAAGTGAAATAGCTTTACATGGAAAACTACAGTACTCTGAAAAAGGAGATCAAAGAGGATATCAGAAAATGGAAAGATATCCCTTCTTCTTGAGGGGGAAGAACCAGTATAGTAAAAATGGCCATACTTCCAAAATTGTTATACAGATTGAACACAATCCCGATCGAAATACCAATAGCATATTTCACAGAATTAGAGAAAACAATCTTAAAATTCATTTGGAGATGGAGGAGACCTAGAATAGCAAAAGCAATTCTGGGCCCCAAGGACAAGGCAGGGGACATCACAAACCCTGATTTGAAATTATTCTACAAAGCTACTGTGATAAAAATAGCATGGTACTGGCAAAAGAACAGACCAGAGAATCAATGGAGCAGATTAGAATATGCAGAAACAACTCAAAACACACCCAGCCACCTTTTTTTTTCTTTTGATACTGGGGATCGAACTCGGGAGCTTGCGCTTGAGAGACAGGTGATGGCACCAATGGGCTAAATCCCCAGCCCAAAAGATAAACTCTTTAAAAAATGGTACTAGAGGGCCAGGGATTTAGCTCAGTGGTTCCGCTGCCTGCCTTGCAAGTGGAAGATCCTGAGTTTGATCCCCGGTACCAAAAAAAAAAGGTACTAGAAAAACTGGCTTTCTACATACCAAAGGTTAAACATAGATCCATATCTTTCACTATGCACTAAAATCAAAATGTATCAAAAATCTAAATATTAAAACATAAACACTAAATCTGCTGGAAGATTGAATAGAATAGGTAGAACTCTTAAAGGTACTGATATAGGCAAAGACTTTATGAAAAATCCTTGGTCTCACAGGAATTGTTACAAAGAATTAACAACTGGGATCTCATCTTATTAAAAAGCTTTTATAGGCAGGGGATTTAACTCAGTGGCACTGCATCTGCCTCGCAAGCGCAAGGTCCTGAGTTCAATCCCCACTACCCCCAAAAAAGAAGCTTTTACGCAGCAAAAGAAACCACCAACAGAGTGAAGAGACAACCCACTGAGTGGGAAAAATTTTTGCCAGCTCTTCCTCAGACAAAGAACTAATATCTAGAAATATAAAGAACTCAAAAAAAAGTCAGACCCTTCCCAAATTTAAAGACCCAGTCCAAAAATGAGCATCTGAAATAAATAGATACTCTCAGATAAAGAAGTAGAAATAGCAAGTAAATATATGAAAAAAAAGTTCAACAGCACTGGTTATTTGTGCAATGCAAAATTAAAATAACACTGAGATTCCATCTAACTCCAGAAAGAATGGCTTTTATTAAGAAATCAACCAATAACAAATGCTGCAGGGGTTATGGGGAAAAAGGAACCCTTCTCCACTGTTGGTGGGAGTGTAGACTCGTGCAACCACTGTGGAAATCAGTGTGGAGATTCATCAAAAAACTAAAACTAGAAGTTCCATTCAACCTAGCTATTCCCCTTTTTTGGTATCTTTCCAAAAGAAAACCATCATACCACAGGGATATATGCACACCCGTGTTTATAGCGACACAATTTGTAACAGCCAAATATTGGAAACAACTCAAAAGCCCATCAATCAATGAATGGATAAAGAGGATGTGGGTTTAGACCATACTCTTAAGTGAGATAAATCAGACACACTTGTATTTAAACTTGTATTTCTCTCTGGTGAGAGAAACCAAAAGTGTAAATAAGGACTAAAATATATGATAGCTATTGGGGAATGGGAAGAAAATGTTCAAATGAGAAGGGGAACAAGGGAGTAAGAGCTGAAAAGGAAAGAAGGGACAAGGAAAAAAGATAATAGAAAGAAGAAATGGAAACCTTTTGTAAATAAGAAGGAGGAGAGAGGAATGGGAAAAAAAATAGAAGCAGCAAGATATACCATGTACAGGTACTAATTCCCTATGATGAATGTTATCATTACGTATATATAAAATGAACCAATAAATGTTTTGCTTCAAAAAAGAAAAAAAAGCATTGTTCTGAGGTGAGTTTTGAGTCAAACCCATCCCACCATATTCTTCCTGCATGTGCTTTCAGAGTGAGGAGATAATCTCCTTATCCTTCCCTCTTTCCCCTGAACTCCAACCCCATAGCCACAGCCTCTCTCCTTCTCTTTGAGCTCCTCTTGCCCCACCTGCCAAATTTCACCCAGCTCATGTGCCATCCCAGGTCTTTCTGGCCCCTCTTTGCACTTCCTTCCCAAGGATCCCTGCACACACTTCCCCTCACTCATCCCAATGGAGCAGCTAGCCAGTCATTCTTTTTGTGTTAAAATAACCACCAATTAATTGTTCTGTCACAATTCTAAAATTAGTCTCCACTAATTAATCTCAAAGATTAATTAATCAAGATTAATTCAATATTGTTCAAATTAGTCTCTTCAGCAATATTTTCCAAACTTTTTTTACTACAGTCACCATCAGAAATGCAATGAACATCACAGCCCCCTGTGTAAGGACCAGTGTGCCTCAGTACACCCTTTTGACCTGTTCATGTTGGGTGGGTTGCCTGGGGAAGGTCTCCACTATTTGAATATCATTAGAATAAAAGTCTCATGAGAAAAACATTATTATCCTTGTTCTACAAGATGTACTTAGATAATTTCTCCTCTTTTCTGTTTCACTAAAGAAGAAAAAAGAAAAGGTTGGTTGCACCCACACAAAATTGTTTTTTTGACCCAATAGCTAGTAGTAACTTTTTGAAAAAGTCTCTGGCCTAAAGTCCCATAAGTTTTGCATGTGGCAGGAACTTCAGAAGTTGGTGTTGGAGTCCCACTCCAGTGCACCTCTGACCCACAGTCAATAACTATTTTAAATGTCCTTCCAATACTGCCTGCTGATAATGTTCCTTTCCCACATACTCAGCAGCATTGTTGATGATGCCTACCTGTTGTTTTCTACATTCCAGTTTACACTCATAAGACCTGACGACTCCCCGCCAGGCCTCCCACCAGTGTCCTTGGAACCTCTCCTCACAACAATCCGAGATGAGCAGTACACCCTGGGGAAGGAGATCTGCATCTGGGGCCTTCAGCTGAGCAACCCGGAGATTGCCAGACTCGTGAGTCACACTTTAAAATATTTCTTCAAACTTTAAAATTGAATGCAATGTGTAGTCCAGTTGTAGTCGATTAGGTTGCTGACTGATAACACTGCAAGGCTTTCTTTTCTAATAAATAACTGTATTTTTAATGAAATATTTGAAACATAAAAATGCAAAAAAATAGTAGAACTGATATCCATGCGCTTACCAAACAGATGTAATATGGTTTTTTTTTTTGGTACCAGGGATTGAACTCAGGTCCTTGTGCTTGTGAGGCAGGTGGCAGAACCACTGAGCTAAATCACCGGCCCTGTATTATGGATTTTTAAGGAATAAAATTTTCAGACATTTACATGGATAATAGCTTAAACTTCATTTCACTTCTTTTCCCCCTATCAACTTCCTGGTGGTACCACTGGCCTAAAGTTGATGTGTATTATGCATACCCATGTTTACAGCAGCACAACTCATAATAGCTAAATCTTGGAAATGGCCCATACGTCCATCAAAAGATGAGTGGATAAAGAAAATGTTGTATTTATGTACATTGGAGTACTACTCTGCCATAAGGAATGGCAAATTTAAGTCATTTGTAGGAAAATGGATGCACCATGAGACCATAATATTAAATAAGTAAATCAGACACACAAGCTTAAGTGTCACATAGCTTCTCTTATGAAAACTCTAATATAAATTAAAAAGTAAAATAAAAGGTAGATGATTAAACATAGGGAGATAGGTTTTTTGTAAATGGGAATGGGATCTAGAGATAGAGGAAGGGGGAAGAGAGGAGAGGGAAAGGGAAAATGAAAAGAGTTAAGGTCTCTTATATACATGTACCAACTCCCCAGAATGAATGTAATCATTATGTATTGCAAATATGTACTAATAAAAACATTACTGCTGATGCATGAAAAAAATTAAGTTGATGTGTATCAAACTTACATATATTTTATATTTTTATTACATATGTATGTATTTATTACATATGTATGTACATATTACAGATGTATTTGCATAAATGGAATTGTACTGTGTTTTGTGACTTACATTTTTATTCACATTAGACTGTCAAGATTTCCCCATGTTCATTAAATCTGACTTATCACATCCCATATCACATATGCAATTATGGATTGCCATTTATTTAACTTCTGTTGTTGCTAATGACAAGAACTTCATTCACTTTTAGAAGGGCAAATCAGATAATTCAGCCCAACTCTCTCACTAATGACAATAATACAAACCACACACACACACACACACACACACACACACACACACACAAAGCAAATGATCTCAAGGAGGATGTAGACCCAGGGAAGAAAATATTACAGAGACTATTATGCCCAGGGAGCATTTGATTTAAAAGAAGGCAGTGGAAAAACTTGAGAGGTTTTGTAGTGCTTTGGCCAATCCTCCCAATGCTAGGGAAAACTTTTTGAAGAAGCCCTAATGAAACTTCCTTTGCTGTGATTGGAGACCCTGAAGGACCACAGAAATGAAGCTCACCCACATGCAGACAGGTGGTCGAGGGACTATAGATTACTTTCAGTCACCTCAAGTCCTGAAATTAGATTAGATTTCTGGTGCCCTCATGGGTCCAGAAGCAAATGACAATACTCCCTGGAAGACAATTACAATATCTTAGGCCTCAAATTATGCCTATAAACATTTTGTAAAGCTAAAAATCCAATATATCTATTCTATGTGAGAAGGCAAGATAGCTTGAACACAAACTATACAGACTGTAGAAACAGTGCACTAAATAAACAGCCATGAGGAGGAGTCAGATGTTTGAGTTATCACACATGTGCTTTTAAAGATCTTTGCTTACATACAGTATTCAAAGAAATATAAGCCTAAAATCAAATTTTAAGCAAAAAAAAAGCCCTAGAAACTAAAACAAGAACTAAATGGGCATTCAAGAACTGAAAAATTCAGTATAGTAATTGAATGTAAAATCTAAGTAAAAGGGATGTAACAGCATTTTAGCCAGATTTAGTGAGATCATTAGTAAAATGAAGTCAGAAGACAGTGTCTGGAGTGAAGCATGAAATAAAATAAAAACTTCAGCTGGGGATGGCAGCTCACACCTGTAATCCCCAGCTATTGGAAGGCTGAGGCAAAGAATCTCAAATTCAAGGCCAGTGTAGGCAACTTAGCAAGACCTTGTCTCAAAATAAATCCCCCCCATACCAGGGATCAAACTCAGGACCTTGCACTTGTGAAGCAGGTGCAGTGCCACTGAGCTAAATCCCCAGCCCTTCAAAATAAAATTTTTTAAAAGGGATGGAGATGTAACTCAGTACTCTTTGAATTTGATCTTCAGGAAAGGGGAGGGGGGATTCAAAAGAGAAGGTAAGAGACATAGGAAAGTGAGATAATCAACACTTGTGTAATTGGAGTCCCAGAGGAGAAGGAGACTGAGAGTGTGATAAAATTGCTAAGAGCTTTCAAACTAGGAGAAGACATAAACCACAGATTTGAGTAGAGCTATTAATCTTAAGTGAAATACAAAGAAAACTTAAAATCATCATAGCAAAACTACTACCAAAGATATAGAGAAAAAATTTTAATTGGTTAATAAAAAAAAAACAGTAGATAAAATCCCTGACTTATGATGGTTCAACTTACAACTTTTTGACTTCATGATGGTAAAACTATTCAACACTTTATTACAAATAGGCTGTGTGTTAGATGCTTTTGTCCAGCTATAGGCTAGTGGAAGTATTCTGAGCTAAACTGGTGTTCAGTGGGTGAAGCATACTAAATGTATTTTGACTTACAATGAAGAGGTTCATCGGGGTCTAACCCCACCCAAAGTCAAGGAACATCTCTACCTTCAAAGAAGCAGTAATAAGACTAGTGTGGCTAACTTTTCAATAGAAACATGAAAGGCAGCCACAGTAAAATATTTTCAAAGTGCCAACTAACAGCTCTATACCTCCAAAAATTTTTTTAAAGATGAAAGTGGCATAAAGAAATTGTCAGACCAACAGAAACTGAGAAAATTTGCCACCAACATGTCTTCCCTGAAGGAAATACATGTTGTTCAGGCAGAAAAATGATCCACCAAAAGCAGGAAAGATCAAGGAGCCACAAATAAAATTTTCTTATATAACAATCTACATTGTATGTGGAGATGTAAGTGGCCAAGAACAAGCAAGACAACTTTGAATAGGAAGAATATAGTGGGGTGATCTGCTGTAACAGATATCAAAGCTTATATTAAAGCTACAGAAATTAAAATAGTATAATATTGCTGCAAGTGCAGATCTATAAACCAGTGTAAAAGAATAGAAAGCCTACAAACAGACCATACCATATGGATATTTAATTGTTTTGTTTTTGAGACAGGATCTTTCTATGTAGTCCAGGCTAGCCTTGAATTTTTTTTTCTTTTGTTCCCGGGGATTGAACTTGGGACCTTGCACTTGCAAAGGATAGCCTTGAATTTGTGGCAATCCCAAGTGCTGCAATTACAGGCATGCTCCACTATGCCTGACAAAAAACCCTTCTTAGGCCCCCAGCACTGAGGAGCAGAGCCACCCTCATCACTGAGAAGGAGCCTTTCTGGCCACTATACCACCACCCTCAGTGCCAAGGAGCAGAGCCCCACCCAGCACCAAGGAGGTGAGCCTCATGGGTGCCAGCAACACATGCACATCCATCGAAATGAGAAGACATGTAAACAACTCTCAAAAACAGACTTCCAGATCACCTACAGCAACCCCAAAGTGAAATGAGATGTAAAAATCTGATACTCAACCACCTGGACTCCATGAACTGGCAACAAAAGAGGATCTGGAAAAAATGAAATAAGATATAATTTCTCACATAACAGCAGAGATTGTGCCCATACTGCAAGACATGATTAATAAATCTAGAGAGGACACAGATAAAAAATAGAGGCGCTGAGGAACATGATAAAAATACCAACATAGGAAACAAATGGAATCCATAAAACAGATGCAAACATTTTCAGGAGATTAAACACTCCATTGAAAGTTTACACAGCAGAATGAGCCAATGTGAGGACAGAATTTCAGATATACAAGGTAAGATTGCAATTAGTGACCAGGAAAAGAAAAATTGCTTTAACATAGTAAGGGACCACAAGAAATCAATCCAGCAGCTGCTAGACAATGCAAAGAAGAACAAAGTAAGACTGTTCAGAGTCAATGAAGAAACAGGACAGAGTGCAAATGACATTAAAAAACTATTCAAAGAAATGATGGCAAAAAAACCCTTCTCAACCAGGGGGAAAGTACTTGACATAGAGATAAGTGAGGCATATAGGACTCCAACTAGCCTTGATCAAAAAAAATCTACACATAGGCATATAATAGTTAAGATTCCAGAAACCCAACAGAAGAACAAAATTCTACAAGCAGTGAGAGAAAAGAAACAAATCACATACAAAGGAAAGCCCAC